AAATTGGTCCTCTGGTCGCACAACTGGAGATCTGGAGGCACCCTCTCTGGCTTATGGCACACCGAACAGTGAAGAGCCGGGCCTCGCGCGCCTTGGTACCTTAAGCGCCGCGCCGATCTCTTGCGCATTCCATCGATGATAGGGTCGATGGCGGGAACTCTAGGGTCTCCCTGACTTTCCTCCTAGCTGGGGTAATTTCTCGCCGGTATTTTTAAAGCTGCCCGAGAGGATGTTTCTCCGAGTTTGCTCTTTTGGCATTTCTCCTTGGGGAATAGGCGGTAGGCTGGCCGGGCCCTCCGTCGTCTCTCTCCAGGATTGGCCCCGGAGTTGATACGGCTCGGAGTTCTCTCGGTACTCTAGAAGAAGTCACCTGCATTAAATTTTGCGCGAGAGATATTCACATAATTTTTGGCCACTCGATACTTAGCTGCGCGAGGTCCCGTGCTCTCTCTCACTCTCGCTCTATCTCTCTCTCTGCTGCGGCATTCCGGCACATCCCGTCTCGCTTTCTTTTGATTTACAAAATGGTCTCCGGCCGTTCTCTCGGACCGTCGCTGTCGCTCTCTCTATAAATCGCGCTGCACGTGCATCGACAGGCCGATGCTGCGTGCAATTGTGAGTCTCGCAAAAATAAAAATACAAGAAACGGATCGCACCCTCTCCGAAATGAGGGGCGCTCCAGATCTCCGCGTCCTACCCGATCGGACTTTCTGCCCTTGTGACGGCGCTCCAAAAGCGTCACGTCACAAACAATATAACGAAAGTTTACATTAAAAAAAAATAAAATATAAATGAAAGCTAAATTTATGTAAAAAGATTGAATAGTTTTTCTCTTCATTATAAATCTAACATTTTCGTAAAATTTTATTTCGTAAATTTTTTCCGCACAAATTACAGATTATTTTTTATTCTTGAATTTTCATTGCGTAATTTTAATTATTAAATTTTCATTATGTTTTAAATTTTGATTTGCCAAATTTTTATTATGTACATAATTTGTATTCTTCAATTTCTATTATATGATTATAATTTTAATTTGCCGAATTCCTATTATGTACATAATCTTAATACCTGAATTTCCATTATGTAAATAATTTTAATTTCCGAAGTTTTATTATGTATTGTAGATAATATTAATAGATCAAATTTCTATTATGTACAATTTTAATTATTTACATAATAGAAATACGGCGAATTAAAATTATGTATATATAATAAAAAATTAAAAATTAAAATTGTGTGCATAATAGAAATTCGACGAATTAAAATTATGTACATAATAGAAAATCGGGAATTAAAATTATGTATTCCCTTATAATAAAATTATGTACATAATTGATATTCGGCAAATTAAAATTATGTACTTTGCTGATTATATATTATTTATTATTTACGCGTTGAAAACTCCCGCGCGTAGTAACACATGAAATCGTCCGATTCTGACGTGACGTCACGACGTCACGAACTTCAGCCAACGCCGCCATTAGTCAGTGCAAGTCCAGCGGCGGAGGAGTAGAGATGCGTCGCGAATGCTCCGCGTCTTGTCTGGATTTCGTGCGTGAGTAACGCGAATAAACGGGAGTGCAAATCCGGGAGTGTCGTGTTTTGACGCGGTGGACCGAATAATATGCTCAAAGAGCATCCGAGCGTCGATGAGGACCCAAGAGCCTCGGAACATCGCGAATTGGAGATTGGTGGGAAGGGGATGGAGGACGTTTCTTGCTTGAGACTATTCCGCCGTGATTTTCGCGCATATTTTGACGCTACTCGCTCCCCGAGAGCCTCGCGAGAATTCTTCATTGTCTCGAAGGGTATCTTGGCATCGACGGGACTCCGGGAGTCTCGGATCATCGCGAATTCGCGGAATTGCGAGCTGTAGGAGTGGCAAGGGAGAGGGACTATCGCTTGAGATATCGTTTTCGACTGTATTTCGACATATACAGCGGCTCTCGTGCGGTGTTTCGGAATCATCCGCTCGACGAGGAGTTCCGCGAGTGCTCCAGCATCTCCTGGAGTGCCTGAATATCGGAGAAAGTGTCCAAGAAGCTCGACTTTTCGTCTCAAAACCGTCGATTCAAATTCTAGGGGAGGGGCGGCCATATCCCTCAATTGCTTAAGATACTGAGCTTTCGTGACTATCCGCGTAACGGTCAATGGCGCTCAAGTATCACTCCGCCATACCACTTTGTTCGCTTCGCGATGTCACCTAATAACGCGGCTGGCCGAGAGATGTCGCGATAGACCTCTATGGATGTCGCGAAACGACGCGGCGCGCCGGGAGATGTCGCGATAGACCTCTGTAGACATCACGAGTAAATTTAAGGGCATTTCGATGCGTTTAATGTGATTAATATTTGGACGCTCGCTTTCCCGGAATCGAAAAAGCATATTTTTTCAACAGATATTTTGTTCGTGTTTTTATTCGCGAATGCGATATCGAACGTGATCGAGCGGGATGCTCGAAAGTGCCGAATGCATTCGCGAGTGATATTATTTTTTTGTCCGTTTATTTCGTCCGTATCGTCCGTTTATTCTGAAGTGCATCTGTGTGTAGTGAAGTGCGAGAATAATTATTGCAAATATAAAATAATAGAAAAAACAGTGCAGTGATCAGTGCCAAACCATATGGGATTACAGCAGAGCAGCAGTGGAATATAAAAGTGGATATATGTGTAAAAATTTTTTTATTTTTCGGGAGGGAATTACTGTAGCGACTTCTATTTTTTCAACTAACTAATATAAAAAACTGAGAGTTTTAACAAGGCTCTGTAATATAAATATAAATTTAAAGGTATAAGACAGGCAGTAAGAGCCAACTCGCGGATGACAGTGCGTATCCTAACAAAACTAAATTTTTCGTTAGGATAAAAAACTGATATTAAAAAAAACAAATCTAATCTAAGGAAAAATAAACCTAACTTGAAAAAAAATAATAGGTACTAATATTAAAAATTATAAAACTAATATTAGGACAAACGTATTTTGGTTCTAAATTATTAAAATTCTAAACTATTAAAAGTTAATATAATATTGAGAAATAGCGCGCACGTAGCGATAATTAATATAGCTTCCGTATTAAAATATTAATTCTTTAAAGTCACATGCCACAGGTACATAACTAAAACACGATATTTGCAAATGCTAATAAGTTTTAAGCGGAGATAGATCGTTGTCGATCTTGAAGCAAAAAAGTTAAAAAGTGACCAACTTAAAGAAATTTTAAATTCTCATGTTCAGTCGTATTTAGAAACGACTCTTATTGTTTGGAACGTTCGCAATCTAAATCTGTACGATATCGATAAAAATATTAGAAATTAAAAATCATGAAATTTGAAGAAAATCATTTTTGACGGGTTTTTTAAACACTGTAATTTTCAAGGCGTGCAAGTACAATAAAAAAAAAATCACTTCACACAACTATAAACGATTTTAAATAAGGCCGTATTCGGATTTGCGTTATTTTATAGTTAGGTCATAATTTTAAATTTTGATTTTTACATCGACGAGGCTTGCGATCGAAATGCTGTCGTTTTCCGTATTAAAAAATTAATTTTTTAAACTCTGGTGCCATATTTACGTTAATATATTAAAGACACGATATTTCCAAGTACGAATAAAAATCTTTAAGCAAAGATAGATCAATGTCGATTTCGAAGCAAAAAATTTAAAAAGTGACCAACTTTAAGAAATTTTAAATTCTCATGCTCAGTCGTATTTAGAATCGATTTATTGTTTAGAACATTCCCAATCGAAAAATATATTTATGGAAAAAGCAGAATTCGAGAATCTTGAAATTTGAAGAGAATCAACTTTGACAGTTTTCTTTAAACTACTGTATTTTCTAAAGCGTACGACTACAAGCGAAACGAAAATCACTTCCCACAATTAGAAACGATATTAAATAATACTGCTAATTTGGATTTGCTTTATTTTAAAATTGGGTCACAATTTTAAATTTCGATTTTTACATTGACGAGGCTTGCGATCGAAATGCTGTCGTTTTCCGTATTAAAAAATGAATTCCTTAAACTCTGGTGCCACATTTACGTTAATATATTAAAGACACGACATTTCCAACTGCGAATAAAAATCTTTAAGCGAAGATAGATCAATGTCGATTTCAAAGCGAAAATTTAAAAAGTGACCAACTTTATGAAATTTAAAATTATCATGCTCAATCGTATTTAGGATCGATTTTTATTGTTTAAAACATTCACAATTGAAAAATATATTTATGGAAAAAGCAGAATTCGAGAATCTTGAAATTTGAAGAGAATCAACTTTGACAGTTTTCTTTAAACTACTGTATTTTCTAAAGCGTACGACTACAAGCGAAACGAAAATCACTTCCCACAATTAGAAACAATATTAAATAATACTGCGTATTCGGATTTGTTTTATTTTAAAGTTGGGTCACAATTTTAAATTTCGATTTTTACATTGACGAGGCTTGCGATCGAAATGCTGTCGCTTTCCGTATTAAAAAATTAATTCCTTAAATTCTGGTGCCACATTTACGTTAATATATTATAGTAGGTGAGCCCAGAAGGCTAAATGGGGATTTACTCGAGCGTCGTAGAAACTCATTGGATTTTGAAGATTAGATGATAGAAAAAAAAGGTCATATAATGTACATCCTTTCACCGGTGGGGGAAGCGTCTACAGGTTTTCAAAAATGTAAAAAAAAATAGTCACATGAAAATACTCGAGCGCATCAGATATTGATAGTGTATATGTCCCACGTGTCTCTGATATTGGAGGTATCTTAATCTGCCGGTTTGCATGGTGAGGGTGGCTGTACGGAACGGTTGAAAACGGGAAAAAAAATTTATTCGAGCGTGTCAGATATTCAGAGGAGATGTTAAGTGAACCCGAAAGAAGCTCCCATTCAAAAGATTGACGATTCGGACATGACGCAAGCTCATGGCGGCTTCTTGATAATGCAAAAATAAATCGCCATTTTGAAATACTCGAGCGCGTCAGATTATTATACAGGTGATTTAGCTTGATGTCCTAGTCGTGCTGATCCATAATCTGACGATTATTTGGAGAGATTTTCTTAATCTGACGAATTAAAAAAAATTTTTAAATTAAAAAAAAATGTTTTTTTAAATTACTAAATGTGACAAGTAAAATACATGAGAAATAGAATGCAAATAAAAAAATCTATTTCTTTTAATTATAATATATAGGTACAGAAAAAAATAAAAAAAACTTTAAAAATATTTTTTTTAAATCTTCATCTTCATCTTCATCTTCTTCTTCCGTGGAATTATCATCGTACTGCAAGTCTGGTTCGATTTGTTCGTCAATTTCATCTTCAGCTTGCATATCTGTAACAAGAAATCGTTATAATACTTACTATTTTATTTATTTCATAAAAAACGTTATCAAAGTTTTGAAAAGAAAATATACCTGAATCTGGAGTATCTCCTACAATATCAGGTGTTATGATTACATTGTCGTACGCTTCTGGTAATTGATTACCAACGAACCAAGTCATTTCCAATTTGCCTTTTACATCTGTCCATCCGTAATTTGTTGGTGACATGTTGATGCTGTTTGGATTGTGTGCATTCCTCCACAAGCAAGCAATATATCTTGTTCGTAATAATTGCTGCAGTAACTCCGATTGACATGGTGGCAAGCAACAAGCATTGTAATTACGAACATTTAACGAGAAGAGCTGTGATGTATCTGATACCTTGTATGTCTTATTGAAGATTTCAATTCTATCTCTGTTGACATTATCTAATTTTTTTAGGCCATACAAGTGGCAGATAAAAGATTGTATGATGTTAAAAGATGCATCTATATTATAATCGTTAGATCCCAAATCTGCAAATTTTTTTTGAAAAATTTCTGAATTTATTAAAATATTGAGAGGTTTTTTCTTGCCTCGTCTATAAAATGCCGGGTTGAAATCACATCCTGTTAGCGCATGAAGAGCTGGTAGCGCTCGCAAAACTATTGGGCCTAGCTTAATAGAGAGTGCGGAAACGTCGATATATCGGCGTGCATTACTTACTCCGAGATCTATCCATATTTTCACTGATGCTTGAAAATGTTTTATATTGGCCAACATGATAACAACAATATCTGTATCAGAGGTTCTGATTGTAACAGTGGAATCTTCTTTTAGCTGACATGCAAGAAATACTGCTTTTGTATCCGCTTCTTCGTAATCAGGACATGACAGTTCATGATCGATGGTTCGCGTTACTTTATTATTGGTAACTGAATATACGTAACACAAATCATGACTCAGATATATTGTTTTATTACCGATAATTGTAGTCATCTTCTGATCAGCCCAATGATCGATAAAAAACTTGACAAGAGCTTCTTTAAACTTGATGTTTTTCAAATCTTTCGCAAAATCTGCTGTTCTTGTTTGTTGAGGGCCGGAGATGTAGAAATCCTTGTCATCCACACTACCTCGAAGAGTGTGCTCATAATCTTTGATAGAAGGTGTGAAGTAGCGATCAAATACAATGGCTACTCGACTTGCTGAGTTATTAACAAGACATTGCAAAATCTTTTTTGACACATCCCCAAAACTGCGCGGCATTTCTTTGAAAGTATTTAAAAAGAAGAAGCCATCTACAATTACAAAATTTACATTAAATGACGGTAGTTCCATTTCTTCAATTTTTTTCCAACTCTTTAACCAGTACCGACTTAACAGTCTTGTTAAGAAAACCATCTATATGGCACAGTAATAGCGGAACTGGAGTTATTGGAAAACAGAGTATCTTTTCAAGATCTATGTTCGTGTCTAGCGATAGAGCCAATAACCGACCGAACAAATCCCACTGCAATTTAACTTCATGTACTTTCAGGCCAATTTTAATTTTCTTTTTCTTCTTCAAACTTGCAAAAGTCAGCACCGGATTTTTTTTCAATGGTTAGTGAAATCTATCTGAGTTTATATTACATTCCGTTATGAATTAATCTCGCAGAAACATTCCGGCTGACACTGCGTTCAACAAGCTATTTGCTATTTCTGGAGTGGTAGCCTGCTCAGTTGAAATATTGTACAGTTGATTTTTATCTATTGAAGAAAAGAATGGGTTGATGGTCTGTTGGATACTGTGCAAGAAAGCTTCAATTTGTTTACGATGTTTTTTTATTCGATCAGGGTGTATAATACAGTGGGCCAGAATCCCGAAAACGTGGCCAAAATATGAAGCCATTGTTCGATTTTTGTAAAACTTGGTATATAAATGTTTTCGACGTCGCTGATTACGAATCTGAAGTGCAAATTTCAAAAAACAGTATGGCGGATCCAATATGGCAGATGCATATATTAAAAAATTATAGGAAGTGACTGAAAACTTGATATCGTGGGGTTTTCGACATCGCTGGTCACGAATTTGAAATAGAAATAAATGAAAAGAACGTAGTAGAAGCAGAATATAGGACTGAAATATGAAAAATCGTATGACTTTGGAAAAACGAAAATATTTATTGTTTTTGGTTCAATGAAGATAAAAAATATATATTTTCAATTATTATTTGTACATTAAAATATTGTAAATAAGTTAAAAAATTTTTACAAACAAAAATCTTCGTCATTTTCAGAATCGCAATTAGCGTCGGATTCATTATCAGTAACTGAAGATTCGCTGTCATAATTAATAGCAATTTGTAAATTATCAGTGCTTGATACAGGGATTGTCGGAGAAGTTAATAATTCAAGAGCTTGTGGTAATAACGATTTAAAAGATTTTCGTGGTTGTTTTCGTATACTTGAAATATACGGATCTGAAGTAATCATCAATCGATTAAAAACATCTTCCATCGTTTTTTCTCTAGAGCATTTTCGCGCAAAATCTTCACGAAATCTTTTAATATCTTCATTACGTGCCTCTTGTGCTTCTTCGGACAATTGTCCAATAGGCAGTAAAAAGTGTTCTATAATTTCCGGGCCGTGAATTAAGAGTTTATGAATAGATGTCGGCATGTAATACCACGGATATAATTCTACGAACTCATTGGCAGTTTCTAAAGAATATGCTCTAAATAATTCGTTATCAATTTCGAAACCACTAGAGATAACTTGCAGAATGATGTGAAATCGATTTATAAGGCTTTCGGATACGCCTGTTATTGTGGCTGATGTTGTAGAATTTTCGAAAAAACGTCTTGCCGTATTGCCGTCATTGGTACTTCCACAACCAGGCTTTGGACGATCGACTATTAATCCTAATTGTATTTGAAATCCTCTTTGAATGATCGACTTACGTGTCTCGACAATTTCTCTTTCTTCGTCAGAATTTACTCGCCATTTTTTAATTGTAAGTTTGTACGATAAATGCAAACAGCATTCAAAAAGACGTATCCAGGCATGCAGTGTCGAAATTCCAAATCGGAGATTGCTTGTTTCTACTTTTCTTTGTAGCATCTTACGTATATCATTGAAGTCCTTGGATGTAGCATTGCATAAATAACATCGTAACGTTGATTTCGTTTCTGACACTGCATTACAAACCTTATTGTCAATCATCGTGAAATTCATGTTATATTGAACGCGGATCTCCATGCCATGTACTTGTGTCACAAGGGGATTAAGCGAATTTATTTGTTGTTTGATATCATTCACTTCATGAGCTGTTGTTTCAGCATTTTCGTGTTCAAATTGTAGTCTTATTGGTCTACAGAACCTAGGAGATGATGTTCTAGGATTCTGCCATATTACAAGATCCGTATCTAATTTTTCGTCTTTACAAACAAGTTGTAATGGCACAAATGACGTGAAGAACACATTTTCATCTGATATGCCGGCTTCGTTAAATTTCTGCTTATAAACACTGTGTCCAGAGCTTCCGTCACAACCCCACTTACAAGTAAGATGCAAATTTTTAATGTTTTCAATGCTCAAAGTACCAATAACTTCCCTTTGCAGTAATAAAATACGTTGTGCCGTGTGATCTAGTATACTTTGTAATTTTACTTCAGCATAATTCTCTTTGATCGTGATGTCAGTACGTGGTGGATAACAAAGTCTTTTAGATTTTACAACATTATTATAGGATGGATATAATTTACAGTTATTTTCTTTGCCTATGTTTCTAATACTTTGATACGTACGTTTTGAGAACTTGTGTTCAATTAGAACTGACAATGCTGCATCATTCGATAAAGTTTGTTCAACTTGAGATGTAGCAGCTTTCATATATTTAGTAGCTCTTGTTGGGCTTGTCAAAGTTACATCTTTTACAATTTTTGAAGCATTTAATTGTCCTGAAGAGCGAAGATTCATTTGAGTAGCGTAAGCTAATTCTTCAGTGGTGTTAGATGTGCGAAGTTCTTCTGTTTTTCTGCGCCTCGATCGTTCAGACGCATCAGAAAATGATAAGGATGGACGACCTGTTTTCGATTGCGTTGACAGAGATTCGTCTTTTATTATAAATTCTGCAGTGTTTAATAGCCAGTTGGCGTATTTTTTTTTGAAATTCTGCTCCGTTCTATTGCAGTTTTGCCATTTAATTCGGAGTGAATGGAAATATTTAGAAAGTGCAGGCTTTTGATCTGCAAGAATACAAATGTTGCGCCCTAATTTCTCAGTCCATGCTGCTTCTAAAATTTCGATTTGTTCTGACACGCTATCCTTCATCTTTGTTTTCATAATATTAAATATTTCTTCGTTCGTGCATTTTATTACGTTTGTGTCGGATCCTGTACATAAAACAAATATAATTATAAATGTTAATATTTTAATATTATTTATATATTACGCAGATTTATGTGTTACATATCTTGTTCCAGTTAAATGTCATCAATGTAATAATTTATAAAAATAATATTAGATATAACTAATTTATATTAATAATTAATTTATAATATTATTTATATAATTAAAATAATTGAGATTTTTCAAAGGCATTGTTAATTATAAATAAAATTAGATAAGTCAAAGGCAAGAGCCACTATTCACAAACTATTTGCAAAAAAGAAAAAAAAACGAAAATTTTATATGTAATTACATTATACAATACAAACAAATTTAATATGTAATTCTATTATATTACACAATTTGATCGTCTATTATAATTACAAAATAATCGCTTATCATTAATTTAGTATAAATACGAAATATATATATTATCTACAACAAATTAATTAGTAAAAATATTAATCATTCTTTTAAACGTTTCGATCCTTTTTTCGGATCATCTTCAGTAGATATAAAATAAATTGTAATAATTGTGATGTTTATAAAATAAATTGTAATGATTGTGATGTTTCGTATGTGGGACAAATTAAAGAACACCGATCTGATGTTAATAAAAGATCTGGGCTGCCTTTGGTAATATCTACACATAAAATCACCACTAACCACGATAATATATATATTTCGTATTTATACTAGATTAATAATAAGCGATTATTTTGTAATTATAATAGGCGATCAATTTGTATAATATAATGGAATTACATATTAAATTTGTTTGTATTGTATAATGTAATTACATATTAAATTTTCGTTTTTTTTTCCTTTTTGCAAACAATTTGTGAATGGTGGCTCTTGCCTTTGACTTATCTAATTTTATTTATATAATTATAAATTAATATTGTTATAAATTATTGTAATACTATAAAAACGAATGGTAATATAATAGCATTTGTAGTTACAAATTATAAAGAAATGTATGTGGCAGAAAAATAGTTGTATTTCTACTAAACTTTTGGATGGTACTGTACTTTCTGGAGTATCTAAAGCCTTAGACACAATGCGAGATAATAGCAGACCCTTGGAACAAAAATTTTAACGGACAGAAAATGTACGGCGCGATTCACCTATATTAAAATGCTTGGCACAGCATTCGATACCGAAACAAATAACGCGTAACGCTTTACAAAACTTTATCGCATTTTTACACGGGCAGCTACGGGCAGCTAGAAATTGCACGATTCGAAAGAGGAAAGTTTGCGTTGACAGAGATTCGTCTTTTATTATAAATTCTGCAGTGTTTAATAGCCAGTTGGCGTATTTTTTTTTGAAATTCTGCTCCGTTCTATTGCAGGAAATATTGCAGGAAAAGGAATTTAATTTAAAAGATTTTACCAATCCGACCTTGGAATGCGGTGGTATACATAACTATTTCGTTCGGTAAAAATTTAATTTCTCCAAAATACATTGTATTGTACAGACCAAAGTTCGATTTTAAAAAAACAACATATGTAACACATATTTATATAATATTATCGTTTTGTTTTGTTGTACATACCACCAGGAACACAATCCATTTTGCACGATTTAATTTGAACACTTTATCCTTGAAATATTAACGTTAGACCAGAGCGGTGAAATTTCGGTTAACTGCGACTGCCACAACTGTTCAGTGCGAAGGTCAACATTGAACTGAGCTAGAGTTTTATGTACAGAAATGTGATCTTTGGTATTTTAGCATGAGGTGGGGGGTACAGTCCTCTACAAAATCCAATAGTCACATTTCATAAAATCAAAAATTTTTTTTTTACTTTTGGCCACGTTTTCGGGATTCTGGCCCACTGTGTGTAGGTCAGCGGCGACGTCTTGGTGGCTCTTGTTAAGTCCTGCACGAGTTAACACATGTGATATTATTCGCGTTCTGGCCCCATGATTTCTTGCCCAATGTCTAGCGGCAATGGAGTTTGTCAGATAAACGATTCCAGTGAGTTGACGTGTTGCATCACCGTTTATCGTCTGCTCCAACGTTAAATCTACCGGAATCCGCGAGAAAGATTTGTTGTGCCTCCGGGAAGGCACGGAAAATTTTGAGTCTTAACCGACTGAAGGATGAGGATCCTAGGATCGGCGGGCGTCTCCACTTTGACGAACTTTACTTGTTTAGATTTTATTTTTATTGTAACACAATAATTCGAGCCGAGATTAATAGTTTTTTTTTATATTTACTTGTTTATTTGAATGAATCTTTTATTTCTCTTATTTCTCGAGTTGGTTTAATTCTGTCTAATCCCACCTGGGTGGTTAGTTATAAGTATGCCCGCACTCGGCAGTTAGATTACAGGCGATAGTTATATTCTGCAGCTTGTCTTCGACTCTTAGTTAGGTTCTAATTAGCGACTTGTCTTTTAGGATTTTCGTTAGCGACTGACTTCATCGCCTCGCTCTCCGTTCGCGGTGGTCTCCTGTTCTTTTCTATCTTTTGGGGGAAGATGTAGAAAAGCTCTCCCATTGGCTAATTTTTATTCACACGTTTTATCTAGGCGCAAGCGAAGCAGGTTATTCTTCGCTTGCGATCCGCGGTTTTCGGCGTAACGCTTATATTCTGTCGCGTTTGCGTCTTCTCGCGATAAGCGCTTTGCGAGAGCGTGAGAACGTTTCTCAAACGATTGCATAATGGCCGACTTACTAATTTATTATTAAAACTATATTTAATATAACATAGTTATAGTCATTCGGACTATAACAATCCTCCCCCGTTGAAAAAGAAAAACGGAGGTACGAAGTTTTTCGTTTTTAATTTCTTAATTTACGTATAATAGTAGTTTCCCGTTACAGTATAATATTACAATCGTTTCTTAAAATCTAGTACTTTGACTCCTTCTTAGGATTGATCTCGGTATTTCGAAGTCATTATTTATTGTAACTTTCGGTTTTTTGTTTTTATTGTTTCTTTTTATTATTATTATCCATGTTATAATAAATATTGCAGCTACTGTCATTACTATTCCGGTAAATGTCATTGGATAGACAAATTGCTTCTGTGCATAAAAATTTTGTTTGTTGTTTTGTAAGTCGTTGTCTATAGTTTCTATTTTGGCTCTTAGTTTTGTCAATTCCAAACGATGTTGTGAGATGTTTTCTAATGTGTCCTGGTTATGTTCTACTTTTTCGTTTCGTGGAATTATTATATTTATATTTGGTAGGAAAGTTTCTAAGGTATTTTCGTACGATTTTTCTGCCGTTTGTAATGTTGTGTCTGTTGTTGTCAGTTTACAGTTTTCGTTTAATGTAATCTTGCCTGTGTTTTTTATTTTTTTATTTTCTGATCGTCCGTCGCATCGTATAGTTATTGTCTGTTCGGCGGAGGTCAAGTATAGCCAAGTGTCTTCTTGATGTAAGGTTATCCATATCGTGTGGGACGAGGTATATTGTCTTACATTACATTTATCCTGATAACGTTGTCGTAGTGTATACATTTGGATTTCGCACGGTGCATCTACATCTATGCAATATATGGGTGTATTTTATTTGCATACATATTGTGCATTTATTTTGCTACATTGCTCTAACTTCTTTTTTGTCATTATGGCGTACGTTAATTTTTCCTTATTTACTATAATACAATAATTGGATTGTTTATTTTAATATAATTGTATACATTAATGCAAAAGGTTTCCGGATGGATGCCGTGTGGTTTAACAGCGTAATGCCGACGTTTCGCAAACGTTGCAGTTTGCATCTTCAAGGCTGAGAGCTTCGATATTGAGCTTTTTTGGGTTGTAATCCTTATATATATATTATGGGAAGTTTTTCATCTACGAAAAAGTATTCCGTAATGACGCCGCCTAGTGGTGTGAGTGTATATTAAGGGCAGTGTGCCAAATAGGGTTTGTTTGATAACCTTTGTCGCGGTTGAGGTTGTCGGGATGTTTAAGAATTTCTAGGGCTTCACAATGTTTTCTGGCGAAATAGCTTTGCGAGGAGGCTAGTCTGGTTGCTTTGTCGTATTGTACCGAGTGTCCCGTCTCCATCCAATGTTCTGCCAAGGCTGATTGACTAAAATGGCAGTACCTGGCACTTTATTGGTGTTCCTTAATTCGTGTACTGATCTTTCTCCCAGTTTCTCCTATGTACACTTTTCCGTAGGAGCAAGGAATTCTGTATACACCTGGTGTTTCTAAGTGTGGTCTCCGGTCCTTGGGATTAGGAAGTAGTTGCGCAATCTTATTTTGAGGTTTGGAAATTACTTTGATATTGTGTTTACCCAGGATTCTGCTAATGCGTTCTATTGTACCCTGAAGATACGGAAGGATCGTCCATTTTTTATCTTTTTTTTTCTTTTTCTTCTTTTTCACTTGATGCACTCATATTTGTAGAACTGGAGATTTCATTTTTCAACCTTTCAGTTGTTCAATGGATGTCTTTGATGTTGTACCCATTCTTGGTCAAGACTTGGTTGATATGTTCTAATTCTTCATTCAGGGAGGTTGGTTCAGAAATTGTTAAGGCTCTGTATATTAATGAACTAAGGACAGAATTCTTCTGAGCTGGGGTGATGATGAGAGGTGGCATGAAGGTAACGATCCGTATGTGTTGGTTTTTGATAAACCCGATGGCCTAAGGTGCCGTCTTCGTTCTTTGTAACTAACACGTCTAAAAAGGGGAGCTGATTATTCTGTTCTATTTCCATTGTGAACTGAATACCGCGGTGCTGAGAATTTAGAAAGTCGAGAAATTGAGAGAGCGTTTCTCTGCCATGACTCCAGATGACAAAAGTGTCATCAACATATCGAAACTATGTAGAGGGTTTGAGAGGTGCGTTTTTCAGAACTTTATTTTCAAAATGTTCCATGAAAATGTTTGCAATGATAGGTGAGATGGGAGATCCCATTGCTGCTTCGGAGGTTTGTTCATAGAACTCTCCTTGAAATTGGAAATAGGTTGAGGTTAGGCAATGTTCTATTAATGGGAAAAAGTTTGAGTCAATGTTTTCAGATTTTTTAATAATATCTAGAGTGTCTTGTACTGGAACATTCGTAAACAAAGATACCATTTTAAAACTGACAAGAATGCCATTAGTTTTTGTTTTGAGTTTGGTAATCCTGCTCACAAAGTCTGTTAAGTTTTTAATGTGGGAATCATTGAGTCCTGTAAGGGTTTGGAGAGGTTTGACAAGAAACTGAGCTAATTGATAAGTGGGTCCTCCGATATTGCTAACAATAGGGCGTAATGGAACTGAATCTTTATGGATTTGCGGAAGACCATAAAGTCTGGGGACTGAAGAAACTCGAGGGGTTAGCTTTTTAGTTGTTAGAAGAGGGAGACCTGCATTTTTGAAAAGCAAAGAAGTTTTTTCTCTATGCTGGAGGTCGGGTTGCGTTTAAGTTTTTTATAGACATTGTGGTCTGAGAGCATGGCCTTGATTTTGTCGCAGTATTCATTTTTGTCCATAACTACTGTAGTGTTTCTCTTGTCTTCCAATAGAACAATAATCTTACTATTCTATTTGAGACTACGGAGTGCTAATCGTTCTTCCCTGCTTATATTTTGACTGGGAAGTTTGGCTTTGTGAAGAACGTTAGTAATTCGATTTCTAATATCGTTGCTTGTTTCAGCGGGAAGGTGGAAGATAGCTGTTTCAACTTGGCTGATAATTTCTTCCGTAGGAATATGATTGAGGGTGATGGTAAAATTATGTCCTTTGGCAAGAATAGAGATTTCAGAAGAAGAAAGAGCTTGACTGCTCAGATTTTTTACTGTATGTGTGGGTATTGGAGTTAAGGTTTCTGGTTTGATTTTATTATATTTGTTTTTCTGTATTCGGGACACTCGGTACAATACGACAAAGCAACCAGACTAGCCCCCTCGCAAAGCTATTTCGCCAGAAAACATCGTGAAGCCCTAGAAATTCTGAAACATCCCGACAACCTCAACCGCGACAAAGGTTATCAAACAAACCCTATTTGGCACACTGCCCTTAATATACACTCACACCACTAGGCGGCGTCATTACGGAATACTTTTCCGTAGATGAAAAACCTCCCATAATATATATATAAGGATTACAACCCAAGAAAGCTCAATATCGAAGCTCTCAGCCTTGAAGATGCAAACTGCAACGTTTGCGAAACGTCGGCATTACGCTGTTAAACCACACGGCATCCATCCGGAAACCTGTTGCATTGATGATTCCAATGGCCGCGAAAGTCTCAAAACTAGAATTGTATACATTATTTATGTATGGCGTAGGAAATTTTATCGCTTTTATAATGTCATATGTCGGTTGTACAATTAAAGGAAAACGCAAAATAGTATATATTTTATCTGATTCGTGGTACGCTGTTATCACAATGTTTTTTTCTATCGATAACCATTCGTCTGTACGAATTTTAAAGGGGAAATACGATCCTTTGGGAAGCTGTGCTGCCGCATCTTTTAAATTATTTACAATCTCGTCTATTGGTATTAATTTGGGGTGCATTTTGCCTTTTCGTATATATGTTAAGTATTCTAATACGTTTTCTGTATCCTTTATTAGTTCGTTTACAATTGCTTCTATTGCCCTGAAATGTTCGTTTATTTTTTCTAAGGTAAAAGTTTCGGTCATAGTCTGTTTTAGCAGTCTCTCATTATGGTCGATTATGTTTTCTAGTCTATCTAAATGTGCTACTGTAG